GTGGAAGCTGTTAAACCGACTAATATGAAGGGATAATCGAAAGGGTTCACTATTCAGAAAAAGCAGCACCTACCGTGGTGGTAAAGAAAGGAAACCGTAAAGTCCGTATTTGTGCTGATTGCTCGACAGGTTTGAGTTCTGTGTTGAAAGATCATCAGTGTCCCCTGCCGGTACCAGAAGACTTGTTCAGCAAACTCAATGGGGGGAAATGTTTCGCAAAACTTGACCTAGCTGATGCGTATTTGCAAATCCCAGTTGCCCATCAGTGCAGAATACTACTGACAGTAAATACGCACCTTGGACTTTTTCAGTACAACCGGCCACCGTTCGGAGTGAAAACCGCACCAGCCATTTTTCAACAAATAATGAATACCCTGCTGAGCGATATCCCAAATACAGCAGTATACCTGGACGATGCGACAATTATGGACTCAGATCCACAAGACTTGATACAGACATTGGAGTGAGTGCTTTCGCGTCTCGAAGAAGCTAGATTCCGAGTAATGGCTGAAAAATGTGAGTTCTTAATGGAAACTGTCAAATTTCTTGGGTTTATCATCGACAAACATGGCCGGCGCCCGGATCCCACCAATATTGTAGCCATCAAAAAAAAGGAAGCCCCCAGAAGACATTACAGAGCTCCGCTCGTTAGCCATTACAGTGCTTTCCTACCAAGCCTTCACCAAACCAGAGGTCCGCTGAACCAGCTACTGACAAAAGACAAGGATTGGAAATGAACGAAGAAGTGCCAGCAGTCTTTTGATGCAGTCAAAGCAGCTCTCATTTCTGATCTACTCTTGACTAACTTCAATCCGATTTTCAAAATTGTCGTTGCTACGGATGATTCCACTCACGGTGTCGGTGCCGTTAGTTCCCACGTTTTTCCGTATGGAGAAAAGGCTATCGCGCACGCAGCACGGTCACAGACGGCAGCTGAAAAGAACTATAGCCAGATAGAGAGGCGCTCGCGATCGTTTTCGCAATGAAATGGTTCCATAAGATGTTGTATGGCAGACATTTCACGCTCCTGACTGACCGCAAGTCACTTCGGTCGATATTCGGGTCAAAGAAAGGGGTTCCAGTTTTTACGGCAAACCGATTGCAACGAGGAGCGACCATACTACTGGCCTACGACCTCAGTATACCTTATAAGCCTACGCAAGTAATCGGTCAAGTGGATGCTCTGCCTCGTCTTATCAATTCACACCAAAAGGAGAATGATGATTGTGTGATTGCAGTTATCAGTTTTGAATCAGAATTAAATGAATCCTGGCTGATAATGTGAGTAGACTACCAGTAACAGCCGACACCATTCGTATGGAGACATCACGGGACAGAATCTTGGAGAAAGCGATGCAGTGGGTATGAACAGGTTGGTCAAATGGAGGCATACCTACGGAGTGGCGGCCGTTATACAATCGACGTGAGTCCCTACCAGTCGTGGGCAATTGTCTGATGTTTGGAGATCGAGTGGTGCTGCCAACGAAATTGCAGAGGCAAATATTGCAGCAGTTCCACACAGAGCACCCTGGTACCAGCCGCATGAAAGTCTTGGCACGCAGTTTTGTTTACTGGCCTGAACTGGATTCGGAGATTGAAAATTTTTGCCAACAATGTGAATCATGTCAAGTTGCAGCAAAGGTCCTTCTCAAGTGTTAGTGGCAACCTTGGCCTAAAGCAGAGAAACCGTGGCAGCGAATACACTTAGACTATGCAGAACCAATCAATGGCCAATCCTATCTCGCCTTGGTCGACTCATTCATCAAGTGGCCTGATGTGATTCAAGTAAACAACCTGACTGCCCAGCATACCGCGAACGAGCTGGAGAAGCTGTTCCGATATTTCGGACTGCCAGAGATGTTAGTGACAGTGGAACACAATTCACCTCAACTTCTTTCCGCGAGTGGTGCAAGGAGAAGGGAACTCAGCAGATGTTCTCACCACCATATCATCCGAGTCAAACGGAAAGGCGGAAAGGTTCGTGGATACGTTCAAACGTGCACTGTAAAGTTGGGCAAAGAAGGGCTTCACAGAATGCAATTCAATCTTTCTTATGCATGTATCGGAACGCTCCGAATCCAAAATCCCCCATAGAAGTACTAATGGGAAGAAAGATCCGGACGTTGTTCGATAATCTTTTACCAGGGAGAATAGAAAAGCACGGAAATAGTCACCCGGAAAAAGATTGTAAAGTCAGGCTCCGTAACTTCAGTGTTGGTGACATGGTTTTCGCCCGGGATTTTTGAGGGCCGAATGGGTGGTCGAGCGGAACTGTTATCGGCAGGAAAGGCAGAGTTATCTACGAAGTGATAGTTGGACGTGAGAGGTGGATTAGACACATCAGTCAGTTGAGAGCGCATCGTGGTAAAACCCAAGGTCCTCACGAACCACCAGTTTTACATTGGGACATCCTACTAGACACGTTCGGGCTGGAAGTTGAGGGTCAGCAACCCGGTGAGACAAAACAAATGCCGCAAACCTCAGATGCACAATGCAAGTCGGCTTGAAAGCGGAGAAGACCATAACGGTTGCAAATCGATCCCGGGCAAATAGCTACGAACACAATCAGGTTCGAAGGGTTTGCAAACTGACTCAGTTCGGAAAGGGAGGTGACAGCTGAGCGAGAAAGCTGAATGCCAACGTGCGCGAGCGTGTCACCAGGGCCCAGCCGAAAGCTGATGAAATCGCGCATCACATAGCATGCTTGTTGCCAAAGTCTGACCAGAAACTGACGAAATCGCGCGTCAGACATCACTTGCGTTGCCATGCCCTGGGTAGGCGGATGAAGACTGGCGTGCTCCAGCAAGATGGCGAACTGGCCAGACGGAACGTGGAGCGTGGGCTTACAGCCAAATCCGCCTGGTGATGTTTGGAGGATTGGTGCGACCGACATATAAATATGAGCGGTCTCTGTCCTAATACGACTCGCGTCTGCTGAGTCTTCTTCTGTCTTCCTTCCTGCTGGGTTTGTTAAAGCATCAAACAGAGCAGGCGTAAGGGCGCAGATTTACCAGTAGACCTGAATCAACCGGTCGACTGCGGATACAGCATTATAACAACGACGATCTCAGTTAATATGCATAATATGAGACTATTTTTGCGCCACAACAGCCGGCTGTAAGCTCTCCAGAACGATTCCATCCGTTACCGGTGACTAAACTAGCGTGCATTTGCTGCATTTTCCTTTTCTTTTCTAATGTATTGCGGCCCAACAGCTGCGATTCTTTCCACCTCCAGCTTTGGAGCAACATATACACTAGATCAGCACCAGAGATAGACTGTAGTGCTTGTGCACTCTACGCAATGGTTGTTTCTCGCGGCAGCGTTTTAAAGGATGAGTTGTATTGATCCCTCATCAACCAGGATCCAGCAGGAGCACAGTAGGTGGACTGAAGTCAACCATATACGAAGAAGATACGGAGACTCAGTTAGTTTGATACCTATAAGCACCCGGCGTACTGGGGCTCAGCCTAGTCACGACTATCAACGGAAAAGAGTAAGGAAGATAAACACGGTTGGCAGCATCCGGTTCCGCATTGGCCTGTCACTGCAACTTCCATAGGACAGCCATAGAACGCCTGCGCATACAAAGGGACCATAGGTGGCTTGTGTTGCATCAGCCACAGCTCCAACCGCACATCCCATATCCGGTGTAAATCCGAAGGAATAAGACCGGGAGGCATGCGGATGGGAGCCACGTGTCATCAACGGAGCCGGCCCACACTACTTCATAGGCAAACAGAAGCACGCTGTATTTGGGAATCAAGCGCATACAAGGCGGTGGCTAGACCGTAGTCCGCTCCACACTGGATGCATGGAACCAGGTTAGCATCACCCTAAGCACCGTGAACCCCGTCCCCTCCAGCAACGACCAATTGTCTCCTAGAGTCAGTTTGGACGAAGTAGTGAGTAGTAGACAGGTAGGCACCTTGTCAACATGCACATCAAGCACAGCCATACCGGGGACATCAAGCAACAGCCAATCACTTGACGATATTAAATAGAATAGATTGAATAATGGACACATATATGCTGACATAACTCTTCAATAAATGACCATACGAAAGAAATTGATTGCCAACAAATCCACGATAGGTTCATGGATTTGTTGGCAACTAATTTATTTCATACGGTCATTTATTGAAGAGTTATGTCAGCATATCTGTATGAATTGTTCGATTTAGTTTATTTGATATCGTCGTCTCAAGTGATTATATGTTGAAAGATAAACACGGAAGATGAGCATACCGTTGCAGATTAATAAGCGACGGGATGCAAAATGTAGCATAAAGAACTTTCTCTCTGAATGCAGTAGATAAGACACTAATGATCAGTTTTGTGGCTGATAAATGGTCCAGTCGTATGAAATTTTAGACAGGGTATATAAGCTGCCATGAAGGGAAGGCTGACAATGTCGACACAAAGGTCTGATACAACATATCTGTGTGGGGAAAAACATACCAGAGATCGGACGGAAAAATTTGCGCTCCGCGTGTTAGAGCGACACGGTTGCATCAATTCAGCTTTTTGAACCAACAAGAGCAAGTGCAACAGAGTCGTAATGCACATATTCTATATGGATACTGACATACTATTGATAAAAGTATATGGTAAGTACTTAGTAGACTAGCTAGTTTGAAGCCACCCCCTGAGTTGGCGGAAAGAGGAATTGATGGACCACAGTGATGCGGCGGGGAATTAGAAGAATGAAGAGAAGAGTAGTAAATCTTCCAACTATTGTCGGCATAATTTGGACCAAAAGAGAAATCAGATATCATAATGAAACTTTATAGGGTAGCGGAATATATCCCCCAATCTAGTCCGAGGATATACGGGATAAATTAAGGAAAAACGCACTATTTGTTTTCATGTGATTGGGATATAAACAAAACAACGAGGATTAACGCACAAAATCACGCTAAGCAAGCTGGCTCGAGTGACTGCCAAGGTGCGAACACATCAGATAAGCCAAGTTATTTCAAACGAAACAGATTGCTTACAGGAAAACCGTCAACGTCGATCCGGTAAAAATCCACTGTGGAAAATTCGTCTTTCAACTTGTGAAAATCTGGAGCGATCGTTTTGCAAGGCCCGCACCATTGTGCATGGAAATCGATAACGATGAGAGAATCAGTTTTGTCAAGCGCTTTGTTCAAAGCCTCCTGTGGGAGAAAGCAACGTTGCGGTTAAAATGAAAACGCGAACATGTGAAAAGGACACAACTCGGTTGGGGAATTGAAGTAAAACATGTGAATTCCTCACTTTTCCTGAGCATTTCAACCTATTCTTACCACCAAGGACCGGTGATGAACACACAACTGACAAACTTTAACATGGTAAAAAAGTAGTTGACATGAGCATACGGTGAACGAATGGATGCTTTAAGTCTGATGCTAGTACGAGTGACTCAGAAAAGTAAATTCATCATTGTGTGGGCAAAATTGGGTTCCTAAGCGAGCAATTCCATCGGTGTCCAGTTATTTAAGCAGAACATAAAACAGAGTTTACAAGAATAGTCTGTAGAAAATCCGGATTTCATCAAGTTCTAGTTGATGCAATAAAAGTCGTACCAGTATGCAGCCGCTGATACTATGAACTAAGTACCGGCCTCAAAGCGGAACAACATGCAATGCTGTCGACCAAGGATAATTCAATTTACGGCTGCGAAGATCATCGTGCGTGCCGGCCAACGCATTCAGTGCTCTCCGACGATGACATCACCCCAATTGTCGTCAGACAATAAGACGTGGACTATCTTGATCGCAAACCGGACTCATATACGAAGACACTTTGGCTCTCAATCAATGTCAGAGTGGAAATATATGACGTTCCATGTAGTTCAAGAGCTATCTCCAATGGTTCGCTTGAGATATCGGCCATCGTGTCGAATCTCCGGCTACCAAATACGGGAGTAATGATTCTGTCTGGAGTAGCGTACTCGACTCTGCTAGAAGGATTAAGCTGTGGGCTACAATCAATCAACAACAGCAGTATATCAGCCACTTGAACTGATGCTTCGCAGTCATACAACCATGATGATCTATGAAATAAGGAATGATAAGAGGGAGAGAAAGGGAAACTTACCTGAAAACCTTAATGCCCTAAGCAAACACTCAAAGTCAAGACGCCTACACCTTGTGGAGACAAGATACCGTCACAGACACCTCGCAATCGTGCAAAAATAAGGTGGCATCAGCGAGATAGCTTCCTTACGGTTTTCACTGCCCCGCGTCATAATCAGCCATTACCGCGCAGATAACTCAGCACCAAACACACTTTAAACAGGCAATCCCATTAGGAGACGGAAGCAGACGCGCCACTGGTGTCGGTTGCGAGTCATGTCCTGTAAAGTCTAGAGCCAAACACAAGGCGAGTCACGTGGACTCCAACCCGGAAGGCGAGACAGACCAACGGCACCCAGGTTGGTCGTCAGTGTCTTCATTTCCCGCTGCCAAATTAAGTACTGTCCACCTTGAGCCCTGCGCCACACTTTACCTGGTAGACTGAACAAATCCCTCCTAGGTTAGCGGTGACCAGGCATAAGTAGCACACGCCCGAGCCAACGCAACTTATTCGGTGCTATCTGTTGTTCTAGGGAGCTAGCATGATCATCATTACCTAGTACTCGCCTACGCACATCATCACTGCGGACACGCTGGTGCCATCCGACTCCAGCAATGCTTCGCAGACAACGATGATCAAAGACTTGAAGCCGCCTCAGATCTTCAGACCGAAGAGGCTAAATTTCACTACCATAGAGCAGAACGGCCCTCATTGTGGCCTTGTATACACGGCCTTTCAGACGGAGGGAAACTCCCTTTTGTCGCCAAAGATGCCGCACGTTTAAGAAGGCAGTTCTAGCTGTTGCAATGCGTGAACTGACATCATTTTCTATGCGCCCATCGTTGCTGATGCAGCTGCCAAAATAAGTGAATTGATGAACCACCTCGAGTTCCTCGTTAGCAAGGGTCAAGGGGTCAGAAAAATGGTTGGTGGTCCTGCAGCAACACTTTGCAATTTGTAGGTGCAAAGCGGATACCAAATAATGGGACAACTCTAGATAGGCTATTCAGGGTTGACTGTGCTGCCGAAACATAGTCGAAAAGCAAGACGGTGTCGTTCGCATAATCAAAATCAACTAATCTTTCACTAGGCAGGAACTCAACGCCTACATCGTGAGATTCTGCAAGGGAACACCCCACGACGAAGTTGAACAAAAAATGGGGAAATCGGACAACCCTGACGAACGCCACTTGTTGTCGGAAAGCCATCCGACAGGTTACCAGTGTTCGAGCATAGAGCAGGTAGGATGATTATGTATTTCGTGGGAATACCTTTCCGCGCAAGCATTTCGAACAGAAACGATCGATCAACTGAATCGAAGGCACTTTTGAAATCCATGAACACATTCAATAAATTTGAAAGAGTGAACGTCGCGAGCAAACATAAAACAATGGAAAGGGAGCCAGCGACACAATGCAAATAACAGGGACGAGCCGTTGAGACGGACTGTTGTAAATAGTGTATGTACTCTATAAATATTTGAGCAATCTTAATAAATGACTTCGTGGTTGCGGCCCAGTCTTCTTGCTTCCCGGAGTGCTACACGACACTTGCTCTTCCCTAATCCGAGGTTCCCGTTTCACAGTGAGGCGACGAACGAGAATCAACGTCCGTAATTTTTTCACAACTGGCGTTAGGCTAGTACCCCTGTGTTTAGAACAGTCTGTGCGACTGCCAATCTTGCATATTGCCACTATAATAGATTCACTCCAGTTAGCCGAGACACCCTTCCAGATACGTCCGAACAGGGTCAGTGCTTTTTAGAGGACTTCACCCCATCCATCATCATCATCATACACGTTAGCTAGAGGTGGGAAACACCTCAGCTACTGTGCCGCCCCATCCAGGTGGGAGGGAATCCGGGCCAGTGGCAGGAAAACGATTGAGGGCTGTGATCGCGTTTCGGACCTCGGCCCCCGACAGAGGCTCTAAACTAACCGTTTATGGCTCCTCCTGCATCACCTGAGTAAGAAGAGGTCCGGGAGCAGGGGGCCAGCTAAACTGATCGTGAAAGTATTTCGCTCAACGAGCCATACGGCGCTCCTTATTGTGTACCAATGCAGTCGTGTTGTCTCTGATTGTCACACTGACGCCTGGTTTCCTGGGACCAGTGGTTCGGATCAGCTGGAAGAGCTTGCGGTAATTGCCTCCTGCTCCTGCCTCCCCCATTTCTTGATCCCTACTGGTCCACCATGCTTCCTTGTCAGCACGTAGGCTCTGCATTTGTTCGCGCCTAATAGCCTGTCTGGTCACATTGCCCTCAGAGCCAACCGGGAGGTTTCTTCTAAATTCCAGCAGGTTCACCGACCTCTCGGATATCCCGTGACTGGTGCGGTGACGACTGATAGGGCCACAAACAGATGCTCCTGCGTTGTGCATGACGGCCGAGATCCCATCCCACTAAAGCCCAGTGTCATTAGGACGAGACAGCGAAAGTCCAAGATGCAGTGCGTCGTGTAAGGTTTGCATGACCGAGGGCTGAGACAATTTCTCATTTGCCAATCGGAGGAGAAGCTTGGTGTGCCTCCAGGTAGAGTCCATGGAGAGACGACAGCGTACTAAAGCATGATCAGAGTCGACATAGGTATTTCAGTACGAGCGGCAATCAAGGATAGAACCACGCCACCTGTAACTTATGGATATGTGATCAATTTGGGCCCATCGCTGGCCAGCTACAGGAGGACGCCAAGTGGCACTTCGGCGCCCACTGTCTAAAAAAAGTGCTACTAAGAAACAACTAGTGCTCCGCACACAGTTGCAGCATACACTCGCCGTTGCCAGCCCGTTCGAAGTTAGGCCGATAATTCCCACCCAATTGAGTTTCTGAAGAGTTCATACACCATACTTGTGCCTTTATACCCTCAGCAAGTACTATAATATCCTAACTATTAGCACTGCGTAGTAGCGCGTTCAGTTCGTGATAGAATGTGTCCGTGACAGCATTGGAACTGCAGTCGATGGGAGTATGAGCGGAAAACCCAAACAAACAGCGTTTAGTACTACTTCGTGAATCAACCTTAGCCGATGTCGTCAAACGGGCTGCACATAAACGGCTGTTCACCGGAATCCAAGCAACCAATGATGGCTCAGCCTTGAAGCTTAGAATGACACATACACCAGCTTGACTCGTGAGTGCTGCATCGGCGTCTCCGGACGCGTGCAACTAATAACGAGAGAATAAGCCTGGTGCAGTTAATTCAACAACCCATTAGGGTCATTAATCCTAGGTTCGGACACACAACACACATCAACACCCAGTGTGTATGCGAGTACAGCGTGTCGACCTATTTGTCTTTAAGTGCGAACGTTGGACGCCGCCATGGAAACGGGTGTGGCCTTATAAGGGACTGTTGCCGAGGCTTCCGATGGGTGTTGTGGGAAGGTGGATGCGAATGGTTCTACTCCAGTGACACTTCGGTTGCTGTCAATTAAGCTGGGAATTATAGAAGGAAGGTTAGTAATGGGGTTCGGAATGGGAGTAAGAGAAACAAGTGGAAAAGAAAGGAGGCGCCAGCAGTAGCATGTTTTCGGTTATCCGCCTTGCTGTATGCAGCACATAAGGCGACCCTTGATAATCCGCGCGACGGCCGATGCAGGATGTAGTTAGAGTTTGGTGAAATTGTCATGCGCCAAACACAAACGCCCCAGATGGAAAAACCCTTGTCGAGATATTATCTCCAGCGGTGTGAAACAGTATTGTCAGCTATCACTTTTCCTCTTCAACTTCGCCATTGACGAAATCATGGAAACAACGCTCACTGGACACAATCTACAAACTGTGGAGTTGCTTCCAGGCGAGCGACTCCTTGATTTGGAGTATGCCGACATTGCACTAATCTGTGGCAGCACGCAAACGTGCCAAGCTGCACTGGATAAACTAGCTCTGGCGCTAACTGTTGGCGGTGATCAGCCAGAAGTCGTCATGAAATGCAAAGTATCTCGACAACCATATTAGCTTCCGTTGGATCGAAGCTGAGATCACGGACCGTATAGCAAAATCCCGGGAGGCTTTTGAAAACCTGTGGCGATGGCGCGACATTACTCTCACCCGGAAAAGTAGAATTTAGAATGAAGCGGTTGCGAAATTTGGTCTATCAAG